AAAGGAAGAAGGAGAACGCCATCCTTCTTCAAATGCTGGGAAGAATACACGCTAATTGCAGGGACCGAACAAGTTGTCTTTCCTGGCAACTTCTTACATCATGAAGATAATTGTGTCTTCAGTTTTAATTTATTTTAGTAATTAATAAAATTTGCATATTAAATGTAAATTATTTAAAATTATATTTAGAATATTTATACCATATTTTGCTATTTCAAGATCGGCCTAATATTTGAACGTGTTATTTTTGTTAATCTCAGAAAGAACTAATGCAAAACCGATTGCATCATGAGAGACAGCTTATTGTTCATTAGATATACTGTGCATGTCAATTTTTTGGCAGGTGTTTCTACTTGACTTTGTTGGGATATGCATACAGATAGGAAAAATATGTTTTATAACTTTCTAAGAAGGTAAAACGTAACTAGAAAACGTCTGATATTATTATAATAAGTGGTTTATGAAATGAATCCAAAGTTTACCATTTTACTGTGCGGTTTCTATTTCTTATCTCTCTGTAGCAAGTATAAAATTGAATTAAAACCTTGAGTGGGATTTAAAAAAATTAGAAAAGAAAACGTATAATAAATGAATCCCATGGTCGTTATGGACTTTAAAGTAATTCATTTTCCTATTCCTAAGTTGATCAGTCCTTATTATATACATACCAGTATTGCAAGACAGTTATTTATAAAGTTAAAGGATATGTTTGATATGTACCATCCAAATATTAAAATGACGATTTTCTTAAGTGCGCTCTGTATGTTCAGTGTTGCCATAGTCGCATATGTCACACGTGACCCACTGCGACTAGCGAACTGCAATGCCTTCATCCGGCCCCTATTCTTCGATTCAAATGAAAGTACTTCTGATGTTTGATCATCTTGGGACGCTGTTAGCCAATAGAAGATTTTGAATATCAAAAACGAAGCGCGTAACGAGCTAGGCCGCGATTCGATACGCGAAATCCAGCTGATGCAAACGTCTCGTATACCATAAAACACAATCCGCCGCAAGCGTCCAGTGGGGTTCGCTCGCCATGCGGATCGCGGACGCGGAAAGGGGCGGCCAGAGCCGCGAGGCCACTCACCGCATACGGCCGTCCAGCGTGATGGAGGTGTCGCGAGCACCCGCAGCACCAGCCCCACGGTGGTGCGGTCGTTCAGTCGATGCCCAGCAGGCAGCTCTCTTCGGCGTCTCTGGCGCCCCACGCACGACCACCCACCAGGTAGCGGGTGCGCCCGAGTTGCGCGCTCTCCAGTTTTGACGGCCTGCAAACCCACAACAAGCGCATTTCACAGTGATTCAGATTAAAGACTATATACATGTATACGTAACATTGTTTAATGTGATGGACAACATTCATAAACTATTGAGTCAAGCGGCCGGTGAAAGAAAAATTATTTTGTGTGTTCTCTAGTCAAAGGCCTCAAGTGTAGACCCTGGTTCACTAGTATACAGGAACAACTAAACAGAGATGACGCTGGAATCAGTTGAACAAACGGCGAAATTCTATTATCTAAAAATCATTGGGACGCACCTTTTTTTTAATTGAATAGTGAGTGTCCAAGAGCCGATTATGAAACTCTAACGCGTAAGTAAACGTAAAAGTACATATGTGCGTCCTAATTGAAGCATGTCCAATTGCAAGGAATTCATACTGGGGTATATAATATCACTATTTGCTGATCACAAAGTAGACACGAATTTAGGCAATCGTTAAAAGGAATTATCCTTCCTTTAAAAATACTTCGCACATACGAGACTCATTATAAATAATAAGATTCCATTTTCTTCTCAAGTAATATGCATATACCAAGAATACGTAACGGGTCCTGTAATCATGTACAATAGACCGAATGGAATGCAAATAAACGGCAAAATACATGTTACCAGTAATCGATTAGAAATTATAATTGTGGAATCATATTTATTCAAATACAATGTAATTGAAAATTAAAAATGTATCAGATTCTCGTCGAATAAAAAAAAGATATGCATTACTCTCATTGTTCATTACATTACCAAGCTTACATTCACCAAGTTAAAAAGGGGGAACACAGTAATGGATTGTTCAGTTTGTAATAGGCAACAATACATGACATAGACTGTCTATTATCAACTGAAAACAATGACTACGATTTTTCTATATGCAATGGCATTTGCAAAAGCAGTTTTTCATTTAACAGCCTTTGTTCGTAGTACCAACAGGAAATATCGTTATAGCTTTCATGTCATAACGGCAATCGCATGATATGTCAACTGAACTTGTCAACCTTGTCGAAGTTCGCTTTTGCTTCGGAAACCTATTTTGTCATGAATATCGCTCTGTTTCCCAAGTCGACACCGGTCGGCAGCGCGCCCGGCCGACGGGAATGTTTATGCAGTCCAACAGGCGCTAACTCCATCGAATAGAACCCACGCCCGGGTTTTGTAAAAGGGCGAGCTCAGGACCGACAGGCGACGAGTCGCTCCTAGGGAACCAAACGGCTCCGACCTGCCTTCTCGTGTAAAAAATGGAAGTGCCCCAAAATGGGAGAGGACCAGCCGAGATCGCCCATCGGGCCTAACGCCGGCCTTTGCATAGGCACCGCAGCCGAATAAACCGGGTCGACTCTGCCCAGCCATCGGACAATGGCAATCGAGGCGCAAGGGCGACCAAATGAAGCCGCCTCGCTAAGAGATAGCTGGGAGGATGGCAGGTGAGGAGGGACTGAGAACCGCAACACGATTAGATTTTCGATTTGAACTGCCATTTATGGGCAACGTCTGTTTGTCGAGATTACTCAGGATGTAGTCTTTTTTAGACATTAGCTGATTCGCTGTCTAAGGAGGAGATATTCGTACATTGAAAAGCATATTTATGATAAAAAAACGACGAATGAATAAAATATTTATAACACTTCTGATTGACGAGTAACTCTTTACTTTGAAGTCACATAAAGAAATACCGATATTAGAAGACTGGATAAAATGTTTCCAATACTTTTTTAACTCCAACATTTATCAATGTACATAGAGTTTTAAACGTTTCCCCAAGTCTAGCCTTTTGAACAAGTCACATTCTATGACGCAATCTAACCATGTACAATGCACAAAACACTTACTGCTTTGCAAGATGAACGCACTGCTCTCTCTAATTATGATATAATATACGAGGTGAAGCTAGAAATAGCAGCGCGTCAATAGGGAATAAAAGAATAGTGAGAGGAAGGAGCAGGACATGCGTCTGGTTGGTATATGCGGGATGGGGAAGACACTGCACCCAACTACGCCAAAAGGACATCAAATAATAATAATAATAATAATAATAATAATAATAATAATTACTATTATTATTATTATTTCAATTTTAACAATAAAAATAATGTTCAACCGCAATCGTTTGGAGCTCATAGGAAGAAGTAAAAAATAATACCGATAAATACGCAACAAAAATGTTCTAGCCAAATAGAACTACAAAGAAAAAATATTTTGGAAAGAAATGAAACTTTTGTGCAGTTCCTTGACAAATATTAATGCAAATGGTATACTTATTAGTTAAAAAAATATTTATTACACACCTGTTTTGTAGTTAGAAATCGTTTTGAAGTTGCAAGCGATATGTTATTCTATATAGTCTCTTCGTGA